TGTTGCTGAAGGTGTTTATAAGCTGTATCAGTTCCTTGGTGGAATCTTTGGGGTCGCTCAAGTATACTATCATGTCATCTGCAAATAGGGAAAGCTTGACTTCTTCCTTTCCAATTTGTATCCCCTTAATCTCCTTATGTTGTCTTATTGCTCTGGCTAGAACTTCAAGTACTGTATTGAATAAGTATGGGGAGAGTGGACAGCCTTGCCTCGTTCCTGATTTTAGTGGAATTGCTTTGAGTTTCTCTCCATTTAATTTGATGTTGGCTGTTGGCTTGCTGTAAATTGCCTTTATTATGTTTAGGTATGTTCCCTGTATTCCTGACCGCTCCAATACCTTTATCATGAAGGGGTGTTGGATTTTGTCAAATGCCTTTTCTGCATCCAGTGAGATGATCATATGGTTTTTTTCTTTGAGTTTGTTTATATGGTGTATTACATTGACGGACTTTCGTATGTTGAACCACCCTTGCATCCCTGGAATGAATCCTACTTGATCATGGTGGATAATTGTTTTGATGTGTTCTTGGAGTCTGTTTGCCAGTATTTTATTGAGTATTTTTGCATCAATGTTCATGAGGGAGATCGGTCTGTAGTTCTCTTTCTTTGTTGTATCCTTGTTTGGTTTAGGAATTAGGGTAATTGTAGCCTCGTAGAAGGAGTTTGGTAATGTTCCTTCTGTTTCTATTGTGTGGAACAATTTAGAGAGTATTGGTATTAACTCTTCTTTGAAGATCTGGTAGAATTCTGCGCTGAAACCATCTGGTCCTGGGCTTTTTTTGGTTGGGAGACTTTTAATGACTGTTTCTATTTCGTTAGGGGTTATTGGACTATTTAAATAGTTTATCTGGTCTTGATTTAACTTAGGTATGTGGTACCTATCCAGAAAGTTATCCATTTCTTTTAGGTTTTCCAGTTTTGTGGAATAGAGGTTTTTGAAGTATGACCTGATGATTCTCTGGATTTCCTCAATGTCTGTTGTTATGTCCCCCTTTTCATTTCTGATTTTGTTGATTTGGATGCTCTCTCTCTGTCTTTTGGTTAGTTTGGATAAGGGCTTGTCTATCTTGTTGATTTTCTCAAAGAACCAACTCTTTGTTTCATTAATTTTTTGTATTGTTCTCTTTGTTTCTATTTTATTGATTTCAGCTCTCACTTTGATAATTTCCTGGCGTCTATTTTTCCTGGGAGACTGTGCTTCTTCTTGTTCTAGAGCTTTCAGGTATGCTGTTAAGTCTCTAGTGTGAGATTTCTCCAACTTATTTATGTGGGCATTTAGTGCTATGAATTTCCCTCTTAGTACTGCTTTCATAGTGTCCCATAAATTTGGATATGTGGTGTCTTCATTTTCATTGATCTCTAGGAAGTCTTTAATTTCTTTCTTTATTTCTTCCTTAACCCATTGGTGATTCAGTTGGGTATTATTCAGTTTCCATGAGATTGCAGGTTTTCTGTAGTTTTTGTTGTTGTTGAAATCCAACTTTAGACCATGGTGGTCTGATAGAACACAGGAGGTTATTCCAATTGTTTTGTATCTGTTTAGATTTGTTTTGTGGCCAAGTATGTGGTCAATTTTAGAGAAGGTTCCATGGGGTGCTGAGAAGAAGGTATATTCTTTTTTGTTAGGATGGAATGTTCTGTAGATATCGATTAAGTCCATTTGAGTCATGACATCAGTTAAGTCCTTTATTTCTCTGTTAAGTTTCAATTTGGGAGATCTGTCCAGTGGTGAAAGTGGGGTGTTGAGGTCTCCCACTATTAATGTGTGGGGTTTTATATGTGATTTAAGCTTTAGTAATGTTTCTTTTACATATGTGGGTGCCCTTGTGTTTGGGGCATAAATATTCAGAATTGAGACTTCATCTTGGTGGATCTTTCCTGTGATGAGTATGTAATGCCCTTCTTGATCTCTTTTGATTGATTTTAGTTTGAAGTCTATTTTGCTGGATATCAGGATGGCTACACCCGCTTGTTTCTTAAGACCGTTTGATTGGAAAGTCTTTTCCCAGCCTTTTATTTTTAGGTAGTGTCTATCTTTGAATTTGAGATGTGTTTCTTGTATGCAGCAGAAAGATGGGTCCTGCTTTCGTATCCATTCTGTAAGCCTATGTCTTTTTATAGGTGAATTAAGTCCATTGATATTGAGGGAAATTAATGACCAGTGATTGTTCATTCCTGTTATTTTTTGGTGGTGATGTGTGGGTACTTCTATACGTTGGGGTTTACTGCTGTGGCTTTATCTGTTGCCTGTGTTTTCGAGGGTGTATCTGACTTCCTTAGGTTGGAATTTTCCTTCTAGTGCTTTCTGTAGGGCTGGGTTTGTGGATAAGTATTGTTTAAATCTGGCTTTGTCATGGAATGTCTTGTTCACTCCATCTATGGTGATTGAAAGTTTTGCTGGGTATATTAGTCTAGGCTGACATCCATGGTCTCTTAGTGTCTGCATTACATCTGTCCAGGTTCTTCTGGCTTTCAAAGTCTCCATTGAGAAATCGGGTGTTATTCTGATGGGTTTGCCTTTATATGTCACTTGGCCTTTTTCCTTTGCTGCTCTTAATATTCTTTCTTTATTCTGTACGTTTAGTTGTTTAACTATTATGTGGCGAGGGGACTTTTTTGGGGGGTCTAGTCTGTTTGGTGTTCTATAAGCTTCTTGTATCTTCATAGGCATTTCCTTCTTTAAGTTGGGAAAGTTTTCTTCTATGATCTTGTTGAATATATTTTCTGTGCCCTTGAGTTGGTATTCTTCTCCTTCTTCGACCCCTATTATTCTTAGGTTTGGTCTTTTCATGGTGTCCCAAATTTCTTGGACATTTTGGTTCATGACTTTGTTGGCTTTAGTGTTTTCTTTGACTGATGAATGTATTTCTTCTACTGTATCTTCAACGCTAGAGATCCTCTCTTCCATCTCTTGCATTCTGTTGATTATACTTGCATCTGAAGTTCCCAATCGTTTTCTCAGATTTTCTATTTCCAGCATTCCCTCTGTTTGTGTCTTCTTCATTTTTTCTATTTCCCTTTTCAGGTCTTGGACTGTTTCCTTCATTTGTTTCATTGATTTTTCTTGATTTTCTCTCAGTATTTTATTGTTTTCTTCCAGGACTTTATTGATTTCTTCTAATTTGTTTGCCTTTTCCTCTAGTTGTTTACAGCGTTCTTCACATTTTTTTGTCTTTTCCTCTACACAAGCCTCTAGCTTCTTCATGATGTCATTCATAAAGCTGTTTTCTTCTGCTTCTTCCAATTTCTGATGTTCAGGTCTAGGTGTTGGAGGAGGGCTAGGGCCTGGTGATGCTGTATTGCTATTCATTTTGTTGTATATGTTTCTGCCTTGACGTCTGCCCATCTCCTTGTGGTTCGTTCTTGGCCTTATCCGCACACTTGGTTCAGACAGACCAGTGTTCCAAAAGGGAAGTCAGTGTTCCAAAAGGGAAGTCCGGAGCAAGATGGGAGCTGGGGGCCGGCCTCTAAGTCTCAGGAAGAGGCTTGGGGTTCAGGCAGATGGGCGTGGGGGCAGGGCGTGGAGACTGCAGGGTCTGCCAGGGGTCTTGGAGAAGGGGATCCTTCCCCGTGGGGCTAGCAGGGAACCTGCCCGGTGGCCAGAACCTAGGGCCGAGTTGGGCAGGTCTTCCCTGGAGTGGCTGGTGCCCAGGGATGGGGTCTGGGGCAAGGGAGGGTACTCACCAGTGTTCCAAAAGGGAAGTCCGGAGCAAGATGGGAGCTGGGGGCCGGCCTCCCATTGTCAGTCTTGACCCAGTCAACCATATCCTCATCAAACAGAACCAGCCTCAGGCAGATTTTCCAGGGAAACTTCTCCACATGTCTGTATGGATAACAAGAAATCTTGTTTTAAGACTGTGGGTAACCAGCCACATGAGCAATGTCACAGGAATAAGACAGGACAAGGGGAGTGGGGAGCACCTCTAGTGGGTAATGCAGGATGTCAATGGCAAATGAGCATAGATAAACCAGGAACTTCCATTTAATTTTTTATAAAGAACATAGCATACAAAAATTCACATTTTATCTACTTATCATTTTATCTATTTTTTTGTTTTTATTATTAAGAATTTTTTTCATTTATTTTACACACCAATCAAAGATCCCTCTCTTCCCTCCTCTCACTACCCAGCCTCCCTCTCCCACCCTACCCCCAACTCCTCCCAACAAGAAGGCAAGGGCCTCCCGTGAGGAGGCACATCCAGTAGAGGCAAGTACAAGCCGTTCACTCTGCCTCAAGGCTACATGAGGTAGTGGGCTCCAAAAAGATCATTCATGCACCAGGGATGGATTCTGATCCTACTGCCAGGGGGGGCCCTAAGCAGATCAAGCTACACAACTGTCTTACCATGCAGAGGACCTAGTCTAGTCCCATGCACACTCCACAGCCACTGATCCCTATCCCAATGAATACCCTAACTGTCATCACAGAGCTTTCCTTCAATGGCTGATGAAAGCAGATGCAGAGATATACAATCAAATGCCAGGCAGAGCTCCAGAAGTCCAGTCAAAGAGAGAGAAGAGGGATTCTATGAGCAAGTGCATCAGGATCATGATGGGGAAACCTGCAGAGACGACCACTTTATCTATTTTTTAAAATGTTATTCAGTCACATATTTATAATGAGGGCAACTATTTTAAGTGTAGTAAACAACAAAATTGTGGCTACTACTTTTGACAGCATTAATCAGAGTCCTACAGAAATGGCTCTGTCTGATGCCTGGCCAGAAACTGCTTCATTACCTAGAGGATTCTAAATGTCTCTACTGACATTTTGCTTTGATTATGGCTCCGGCCAATATATTTGATCAATGTTCTGCTTATTTGGTGGAACCTCCTAAATTGTCATTTGCAGCTGTCACTTTTCAGGGACTTGCAAATTCTCAGATCATTAAGGTGACATGCCATGTGACTCATATTTGACAGACAATTGCTTACTAAAAATATCTGTCCTGATCACTGCAAATGCTCTTAAGGGATATTTTCAGCTTCTTGTTCTCTCAAACTCTGTGATGACACTGTACCTGGTGAGATAAAAGCAGCAGAAGAAATGGCATTCTGAAAAGCAGCAGGTTACTGCTGGGCAGACACAACCTGTCCATGGGGATTTGGGTCAGAAGCAGAATTTTAGGTAGTTCTATGAAGGTCTAAACTCTGCTGTTCCTTACAGCCTGTGAACCTGTCTCTGAAAGCTCATAACTCTCAGAGAGCTGCAGCTTCTCTCCAAATGGTCTTTAATTGGACTGCTACCATGTTTGCTTGGTTGGATAGTTTGATCTGACTTTGTTCAAGGCCATTATAATTTCTCCTGATTCATGCTCAGTTGGTGTTATCAGAGTTTAGAATTTTGTGTAATTTCTCAAATTGATAGATTATGAATATATGGGGCAGAATGGCTGGATCTCAGGACCTCATCACACGACTGGTGAGTTTCTCAACTCCTCTATTGCGTATGTCTTGATATTTTTACCCAGGTTAACAAATGGTAATGACTTGCATTTTAAACTGTTTTTCCTGTAAATTCAGTTACTAAGGTCTCCCAAACTAAACTTGTAGTTTAACTGCAAATGTCATTGAGGTTTACTCCTTGAATATCTGCCTTTATTCCTGAATATTTTAAGAAACTTTCTTGCTATGTCTTTTGAAAACTATTAACTTCCAAACTCATGACTACCAAAACCACCTTTGGACATGGATTAAAAATGTTATTTTCCCCAATTTCCTAATCTAAAATTTTCTCCATTTTCCAAATCCAGAAACCTAAATTCACTCTATCAAAAATCTTACCCTCAAATTTTACATGGGTACCAGCTGACAACTGGTAGTAACACTACTGTAAAGTAAGTGTAACACTACTGTGTAGTAACTGAACACAATAAATGCTATTGCCAAGTTTCTTTCCTCTTTTCTATAATTGTATTTTTTTAATAATAGAATTGAAGTAAACAACTTTCTATCAGTTATTTGGATTTTTGAGCTAAATGAGGTGAGGGGTACATGACACTACCAGTGGTATCAAAGTTCTGTGGTTCAGATGGTTGTATTTGCCACTAGGCATTCACATGTTAGGAGCACAGTCCCCATTACATAATGTGAAAAGTGTTGTAAACATTAAACCTACTGTGTGGTGTTTTTTGTCACTAATTGTGCATTAATAGTTTATAAAAAATACTAACACATCTCTCAGTTCTTTATCCTCACAGAGATCCCACTGCATCTGTGTGGTGATATTGTGTTCCCCAATATATTGTGTACCTTAATAAACTTATCTGGGATCAGAGAGACATAACAGGCCACAGCTAATCTCACCTCACCAATTCTTCAGCTGATCTCGTTTCCTCAAACTGGAAGTCTCTGTGTCCTCATCCGAATGAATCTCAGCTGAACTGCTGCTCAGAAGCCTAAAAGTTTTAAGGGGTTCTAGTTCCTGGTCCTCAAGCCTTATATACCTTTTTGTTCATGGTACAAATTCATGAAAAAGCCACTTTCCTGTGGCCTTGTGGGCCCCAGCTCAGGCCCAAACTACACTTGGCCAGTTGTGGTGGTACAGGCCTGTAGGATTTTCTAAAGGAGGCAGAGGCAGGAGGATCCCGAGTTTGAGGCCAGCCTAGGAGGCTTGCTAAGGAGAAGCTGAGGCTGGGGCCCAGCCAAAACGGTAGTGGTGGGACCTGCTTCTCATCCTGTTGGTGACTGCAGTGATGCTGCTACCTGGGATGAAGGGTTTACTGCTGCTTCTTCAGAGAATGATTGCCAGGACCATCATGTTACAAGAAAGCATTGGCAAAGGTCAGTTTGGAAAAGTTTGGCAAGACAAATGGTGGGGAGAAATTGCTATGAAGATTTTCTCTTCTAGAGAAGAACGTTCATGGTTCCAAGAGACAGACATTTATCAGTTTATCAGACTGTGATTGCTCCAAACCACAGAGGAGGCAAACAAACAAACAAACAAACAAAAAATCTGCTGAGAACCATGACCATGCCTAACAGCAATTTTTAAATCTTCAAAAAGATGACAGGATCCCACAATGATGATTCCACATGGACTATGGTAAAGCCATTAAGCTGATTAACACCATGCAAAGATTGACTTTGGACTACAAACTGCTTAGGACAATTTTGAGATGACTGGCTGAGATGATCCAGATTCACAGACAACTCAAGCAAGGACTTGAGACAAGCCATACATTATCCCATTATGCAGAGACTGGACAACAAATGATACAGCTACCTCTCCCAGGACATGACAATTAACCCAAAATTTTTTTTCAGGATTCCTGAAAGATGTCTTTGGCACCCCCAGAAAGCAGGAAGTAATTTTAAGAACATGACGCCCACATTCCCAAGAGGTAGGGTGGGTGTCTTTTGGTTGTTTAATGAGTTATGGATATTGTTATTGTTTATGATGGTTGGTTACAAGTGGTTAATTGTTAATGGTCAGGAAAAAGGCTAAACAAAGTGATTAGATTCCAGCTTTTCATTTAAAAAAAGGAAAGGAAAAGAAAAAAAAGAATAGATATGAGGTAGATCATTGAATCTACTCTGAAAAAAAAAAAGGGAAGATATAAAAATGATAAGATAAAAGGTAGATTATTGAATCTACTATGAAGAGAAAAAAGAGAATATGGATATGATAAGATAAAAAGGGAGATTATTGAATCTACTTTAAAAAAGGAACCATTTGTTTTAAATAGTATAAGTAATGAAAAATTTTTATCTGAATTTGTCAAATGATAATGGACTGGACATTGTTAATGTATATAATGCAGTTTTTGTCTGAATCTATCAAATGGTAATAGACTAGACATTGTTAATGTAATTCTTGACTGTATATATTATATATGCTTATTGGGTACAGTTTTCTTGTATTAGTTATAAGCTAATTTTAGACGAAAACGGGGAAATGTGGTGATAGTGTGTTCCCCGAAATATTGTGCACCTTAATAAACTTATCTGGGGTTAGAGAATGGAATAGCTGCTAGACAGAAGTAGGAGCCAGAAAATGGTAGCACACACACACCTTTAATCCTAGCATTTTGGAGGCAGAGATCCATCCGGATCTCTGTGAGTTCAAAGCCACACTGGAAGCAGTCAAGCATGGTGACACATGCCTTTAATCCCAGGAAGTAGAAAGGTGTATAAGGCATGAGGACCAGGAACTAGAGCCTGTTAAGCTTTTAGGCTTCTGAGCAGCAGTTCAGCTGAGATCCATTCAGATGAGGACTCAGAGGCTTCCAGTTTGAGGAAATGAGATCAGCTGAGGAATTGGTGAGGTGAGGTTAGTTGTGGCCTGTTCTGTCTCTCTGATCATTCAGCATTTGCCCAAATACCTGGCTCCTGATTTTGTTTTTTATTAATAAGACCTTTTAAGATTCGTGCTACACATCTGCCCCCACCCCCCAGTGCTGGGATTGAAGGTATGCACAACCACCTTCCAGCTATTTTTAAATCTTTAATCTTGTTCATATGCTTTTGTACACTGGTTTAATAAAAAGCTGTTTGGCCAGTAGCCAGGAAGGAAGTATAGGTGGGATAAGCAGATAAGGAGAATTCTGGGAACAGGAGGGCTGAGTCAGGAGATGCCAGCCCACCATCCAGGGAGCAGCATGTAATGTCCCACAGGTAAAACCATGGAACATGTGGCAACATATAGATTAACAGAAATGGGCTGAGTTTAAGTTTAAGAGCTAGTCAGTAGTAAGCCTGAGCTTAAGGCTGAAAAGTTTTAAATAATATAAGCTTCTGTGTGTTTACTTGGGTCTGAATGGCTGTGGACCAGGTGGAACATAGGAAAACTTTCAGCTACATCCATCATCATTTTAATTCCCAAGTATTCCTTCTTAGTATCTGTTTTTCTTTTACCCTAGATGTCATGTGTGACTTACAGGAGTATGTTAGGTGTTATATGGCTAAAAATATCAAAAAGACATTGGTGATAGGATTTGTAAATTAAAGAATTGTATTTTACAGTGATTTCTCTGTTTAAGGTGGTTCTTGTAGCAATAATATCTTGAGAAAGTTACTTAACCACCCTAATGCTGCACTTCTCCATCTAAAATGGGCATGATACTTTCTTAGCCAGTTAGTGTTAAATTAAAACCATCTAATTGATGTCAAACATGTGACATAGTACAGATCAATGATGGATGAATGTAACTAGAGTTGATGATGAAGGTAGTGAAGTCCTTTCTTTAGTGTGAACAAGGGAAATATTTCTGCAAAGTATTTTCAATGTATTTCCCTGTGTTTCATTACTAACTCATGGATCCATAAAATAACTGTCTCATATTTAATTTTACATAAAAGCTCCTTGAAGAAAGAATGTATACCTTTTCATTCATCATTTCAGTGACCATTACACAATACACTGTTTATACCAAATTAATGCTCAGTAAATAGTTTATGAATGAATGACTCCTAACACAAAATTTGCAATTGTGTGCTAAGATATGTTTGTAGTCAGTTTTTGATCCATCCCTACATTCACATGCTAATCTAAGGCTGTAGAGGCATTGTTAATGTAAATAGATTTTAGCAGCCCAATATGCTACAGAGCACAGGAGAGATAACTCTGGGGCAGAATTGCCTAAAGTCACAAATGTCAATGAAAAATTTGTTTAACTCAAGGACATAATTTCTTTTCATTCTTTAGGTATACAAAAAATGGATTAAAAATCAAGATAACTCTACATACTAAAGAAAAATCATTCTTTTAAACCTAAGTATAGCCCACAGTGTACCTCTTCCCAAAAGACTTCCCTGGAAAATCTGACTCAAATATATTTCTTTTACTCCTTCCATTCTCTGTTTATTCTTTCTTTTCATTTATTATTTATTATCTCTACATTTATTTTGCATTAACCTGAAGCTTGTCAGCCATTACAAAGGTGCCAGATGGTAAGTCACAAACTCAAAATATATTTTTCTCTCATTGTTGTGGGGTCCACTCAAGTGCCTGCATATGGGCAGACTGAATTGATGGTCACCAATGTAAGTAGACCACTTTCCCCCTCCAATGAACAGTATGCTGAGTCACCATCTTTCCTACAGTAAAAGAATATTCACAGACACAGAGGAAGATGTCCATTTTCTAGTTTGTATAGGGCTCAAACACTTGAGAGAGAGAATAGGTACCTGGAGAGGCACACTTTCTTAACATGGAATAGAGATTGGTTCATTTCATACTCTGTGGAGCTCAGGCATGTAGAGGGAAAGACAATGGTGGGGGGAAGAAAGGAAACTTTCCTTGGGTTCCTGTAAGAGCCAATGTAGACAAATTTCTAAACAGTCTTATTAAATAAGAACCACAGAGCCAAATACAGGGGTGCAAGCTGTAGAGATCAGAGCAATAGCCGCCAACTAACCTTAGCTTACCACCTCGCTGTAGCTTCTCAAGAGAGCTTCTTCTTGTCTAACCTGCACCTTTATTGCCTTTCTGTTCTGCCTTCTCATTGGCTCTAAGCCCAGCCACATCACTTTCTCATCACTGCCTGTCTATACAGACCTCCAGGTCTCTATGGTTGGTACTGGGATTAAAGGCATGTGTCATCATGCTTGGCTGTGTCCTTGAATACACAGAGACCTGCCTGCCATGTGATCAGATTAAGGCATGTGCTACCACTGCCTGACTTCTATTTATGGCTCTCTATGACCTCTGATCTCCAGGCAAACTTTATTTATTAACATACAAATAAAATATCACATTTCAGCACAAATAAAATATCGCCACAAGCCAAAGTTACATTTTAAGTTTTAGTTACTATGTCTAAGAGATCCATGAAACAAAAATGCCTTTGATCTGCAAGCCCATTGACCAAGGACAGTTAGTTCCTGAAATGCTGGAGGCTATTGTTTATGTAAGATAACAAGCTCTGTGTTTTCACTTCCCTAAACAAGTTTGTTTGACCCATATGCACTGTGTGTGCTTGATCACATGTGGGTAGGAGGTACATGGGCAGAAAATATGTCAGGATGTACCCTTGCCCCTGATTGGATGTAGGCAGGAGGTATGTGAGTAGGAACCATATCAGGATGTATGCTTGTCCCTGATTGGACCTCATGAAAAATGTGGTGAATTATGGGTATTTTCCTTCTTAAACCCCTGCAAAATATGACTTGGGACCATTTCCTGGAAACATGGGTATGGGTCTGGACAGAGCCTATCCACCTTGCTAGTATTTAATTAAAGCTTGCTTCAAATTTGACTTTAAACTGTGGTAGTTGTCTTATTCTCAACAGATGGGATTAACATTTTCTGAGACCCCCACAGAGAGTTAGACCACCTACTCAAATTCTAAAGCTGGACCTTTACTCTTGAACTCCAGGCTGAGGAACTACTTCAAGAGGTATGTACTTTGAGATATTCCAAGGTTCCAATGTTACCTTCAGTTCACAGACTGAAGTGCCTTACTGAGAAATTTAGCAAGCATCTATAGAGGGCTCCTGGTGAGTCATAGTCTGGTTCTGTTTTGTGCAGTCTCTGTTTGGGACATGGAGGGTTTGAGAAGACCCAGGTATTCTCCCATCTGGGCAAATAGCATGACATCCACCCACCTGGTTCTGGTTGTTTGGAAAGTTTTGTCTGTCTGTGTTCCCTGGTGTGTCTGTAAGTATTGTTTAAACATGGAACTGGGAAAGAAATGGGTCAGATATTTTTGCTGTCTCTGCTGCCACCAGCTGTCAGTCACCACTACTGCCATGGCTGCTTTTGTGGCTGGGGCTCAGAATTTATCTCTGAGCTCTCTGATCACTAGATTCAAGTTAGCAGGAGTTCAGATGGTTTTTTTTTTTGTGTGTAAATAACATGAAAGGTGTTTTATGCTATTCTATTTTATTGGAAAGCTGGCTCTAGAGCTTCATTATGGATCTAGAGATTCTCTAGACCCAAAAGTTTTCTCTATGTCCTGTGTCAGTTAATTCACCTGATCCTGTGACAGGGAAAAGAAAGCAAAGCAGAACAGCCAAAAATTTAGACTTGGTTTATGTGAACAAATTGCACCTCAAGATTTATGCATTAATTTTATTGGATATGGTTAAAAATCTATAAAATTTAAGCAGGGTAGTGGTGGCACATGCCTTTAATCCCAGCACTCGGAGGCAGAGGCAGGCGGATCTCTGTGAGTTCGAGGCCAGCCTGGGCTCCAAAATGAGTTCCGGGACAGACTCCAAAGCTACACAGAGAAACCCTGTCTCAAATATATATATAAAATTTATTGTGGTAGTTTGAATGTAATTGGCCCCAAGAATCTCATAGAGAGTGGCACTATTAGGGGGTAGCCCTGTGGAGTACATGTGGTCTTGTTGGAGGAAGTGTGTCACTGTGGAGGTGGGCTTTAAGGTCTCATATATGCTCAAGATACTGACCAGTGTGACAGACCACTTCATGTTGCCTGCATGGTAACATATATCAGCTACTTCTCCAGCACCATGTCTGCCTGCATGCTGCCAGGTCCTGCCATGATGATAATGGACTGAAACTCTGAACTGTAAGCAAGCAACCTTAATTAAATGTTTTCTTTGTAAGTGTTGTCATGGTCATGGTGTCTCTTCACAACAATAGAAACCTTAAGACATCTATGAAAAAAAGTTAATTTAAAACTATTAACCCTAGGAATTGAATCTATGCATAGATAATTTTAAAGGAACCATGTGGCATGATTCCATTTTGGGATTTAAAGAACATGTGGATTGCTTATATTCAAGCAGCTGTGTGACTGGCAGTTATCTTTACTAGGATTGGAGAGAGTGGATGTCATGTGACTTCATCACCATCTTGATTAAAAGTGACCATGTGGTGTGGGCCTATCAAGGAGGCAACAACAGGTCTCTAAATTATTTTAGTTTAGGATGGATTTTTGTATGATAATTCCTATTCTATTCTGAAAACAAGTTTTATGAAAGACAGGATTTAAAAAGAATATTTGTCTCATAAGGTATTAAAGCTTCATATGCTGGCAGCCAAACTTTGTAACGTAAGAGTCACCTAGGTGATACTGCTGTCAAAGACGTGAAGGGGTCATAGGGGCAACTGAGGCTTGCAAGTGTGTGGGAGGGCTGGATTTCCCCAAAGAAAGCCCAGTTGCAATGGGGGACCTTAGCAGTTTTGGAAATGAAAGTGCCACGTGATAGTCATCAGAAGCACCAGCCACAATGAAATGGAGCAAGCTGGTACCTGGAAGACAGATTATGTATATGCTGCCAAGGGTAGGGCCAAAGAGGTGATCTAAGCTCCTTGAGAAAACACAAAGAATTGTGAATAAGTCCCAGATATTGAGCTTTGTATTATTTGCACTGTTGGTGCTTGGTTTTGCCTTGTGCAGACTGTTGTTGTGCCTTCATTTTCCCTCTTGAAGTAAAAAAATGGCACTTTATTTTTAATATTATAGGAACAAGCAGTTGAGAGATTTTAAACTTTCTTAAGAGGAAATTTTGGAAGTTTAAAAAACATTTAAATTTAAAAAATGGATTTTTTAAGGAACAGCATTTAAAATATTTAAATTTTATAAACTTTAAGTTTATAAAATGTTTTATATTATTAATATTTGAATTAAAAAAACAAATAAATCAAAAGGTTAAAATTAAGGCCATAGCTATGAGCACCATTGTCCCTATCTGACAATGCAGCAAGACAATACCTTAAGTGGTCTGGCAAAAGACTTGGAGCATCTTCTCAACCTATGAGTCTCAACCCTTTGAAGGTTGAAAGACCGTTTTACAGGGGTAGCTTAGAACCACCTGCATGTGGAATGTTTACACTGAGGTGCAAAACACTGCCAAAATCATAGTTGTGAAATAGCAACAAGAATGATTTTATGGTTGGGGGTCACCACAACACGGGGAACTGTGTTGAAAGGTCACAGCATTAAGAAGGTTGAGAACTACTGGCTGAGAGAATGTCTCTCCTTACATAAGGTCTATTCATGCTTAAGAATATGTAACTAGCCTTCTTGTCTTTGCTAACTTTGTTAAGCTTAAGCTATTTTGATAAACTGAGTCATATAAGAATCTGTTATATTCTGTAGTGGTGTACTATAAAAGGATTAGGAAATTTCTGTCTCTGTGGACTGTATGAGTTAAAAATTTCACTTTGATACTAAAAGGAACTTCAGTTCAGAAATTGTCATATTTTTAAGGCTAACTTATTGTAAACTTTTAAAGATGATTAAGACAGGCTTGCTTTGCTAATAGGCTTTATATTAAAAGATAATGAGGTTTCAGATATAACTGTCCATTAAAGTCACCCCAAAGGACCAAATTCTTTAATGTCTTCAGAACTATAAATGTAGTCATGCTAAGTACTAATGTAATTAATTACAGAAAAAAGCTTTAGTTAGCCTCCTATTTGTGTTTTCAAGGTTAAGTCTAGGTTTGTTTAGCTCAGATATACTTAATAGATAATGGTCCTCAAACTTGTCAGAGATCTGATGAATATGGCATTTAAAAGGTTTAATGGGAAAAGCTTACTATGATGTGACCCTGGGGTCTCCAAAGACAATGATGGGTCACCATGACTATTCCACATGGATTGTGGTAATACAATACAAGACTGCCCCAATGTTGCACCTGCTGCCAGGACCTGTCCCAAACTGCGGACAAGCAGGACACTGGAGACTTGATTGCCTCACTTTGCCTAAGCAAAGTAAGGTCAGTAAACCCCACCACCACCACCATGTTCTTCCTTCATAGGAAAACATCTCATTTTCTGGGCCTGGCAGCCAACTTCTGATCTTATCCTGGTACCTCTGCCCACCAGTGCATGGAGACCACAGGAGCCTGGAATGACCATCTGGCCAATGGTCTAGTCTGTCATTTTCAGAGGCCATTTGGATTATATTTCTTGCTATAATTTATCATTCTCAGTTCTCTGGTAGTATTGATAGCTAGGCTAACTATAGCTTTGTCAGCTTAGCAACATCAAGCAACCAGGTTCTTCCCGAAGGCTGCAGCCACCTTGCTAACTATTTCATGTGTAAAAATTAGGCCTTGCTTTTTCCTGTTGAGAAAAGGCAGAAATGATTAGATGGAAAGAAAAAGGGTTAAAGTCTACACAAGTTTTGAGGATTTAAGAAAATGTCTTAAGATATATAAAGGTCTGAGGATGTGAAAGCTTAAATGAAAGTTGTAAAGTTATAAGAAAGTGATTTAAGGTATGTGAAAAATAGAAAATGTTTTGGACTTCTTTCCCCCTCTATGCTATTGTTACACTAAGATTTCAAAAGTTCAGAGTTTTAATATTGATCAATAAAGTTCTGATAAGCTGATAGAGCAGTGACTACTTACTGGTTAGTCAAAAGCTCAAGAGTGTAAATTTCCTTTGATTATCTTCTAAGTATAGACCTAATGATTCTTGTTGGACTAAAGACATCTCTGTCCAATCGGTATCTGGCTCTCTGGACAGAGGAAAAGTATTCATGCTTTTTAACCCAAATATATAGCTTTTGCTAGGACTCAAAGGTATGAGTCTACTTCAGGTGTTTTACAGACACCTGTTACCTGCTTTTTCAACAATGTTGATTTCAATACAGATTGCTAATGCTAATACATCTAAAAATTTTATGTCTTTTTTGTAAACCAAACAAAAAAATCCATGTAAGCTTCATTCAAAGAATCTAGGGAGTCATAAAACTTGGATCCACCACTCACAGGTCAAAAGAACTCCAGATAAGTAGAGTCTAAGATTTCCCACCTGTCTATTTCTGAGGATGAGATCTCTCTTCTCTCCCCTGGTCTTGGAACTACTCCCATTCCCCAATTACTAGGATTATGGGCCTGAAACTTCCAAAGGGAGGATTTTCCTTTAAGTTCCTAAACTTTAACTTCTGTCCCTAGTCTATATCTTTCCCAGAAGATTTCCAGTTGGCTGGCAGACACCATCCAAGCATCAGCTACTGACTACAATCTGTTCCAAATGACTGCAAACCCCTGACTTACTGTAAGCTGATTTGGACCAGTCCAGTCAATGTGATTTCTCCTTGTCTATTCTGCTGTATCAGTGAACTACATGCTTCTGATGAATGCTCCATTGTCTGAATTCCCTCCTTATCTTTGACTAGCATTCCAGCTCTCCTGGGCCCTGACAACATCCTGGTTTAAGCAGAAAGCAGTTACAGAAAAGAGTGTGTTATCCCTTATCCCCCAACAGGCTGGGATGTTAGATCAAAGGAAACTCCCTGGCATAGGGGACAAAGTAGCTACCTATAATGCCTATTGGCATACCAGGAAAGGTATCTGTTAAAACCAAATAGACCCAGATCTATCAAGTTGTAGATTCATTAGCTAAATAGTTCTATAGTGGAATAGGGTGTTCAACCTGCTCTATTGTTTCTATATAAACCAGTCAGGAAAC